CAGAATCTGGCCCTGGACAGCCCAAGGAGCTATCTAATCAGCCTGTGTAGCACCAGTGTTCAGATGAGCTGTGGTCTTTGTTTGCAGAACAACTCACAAAACCTTGTGAAACTGGTGTGTCATTGGGAAGGCAGTTGATGAGAAAAGTGAAACAGTTTGTGTCCTGAAGTGGAAGGATCCAAACTTAAGTTTGGTGCAGAAGAAAATACAAAAATGGGAGAGGAGGACATATACAGCAGCATCATTTTTGAGTAGGCTGGCTGTAGGGGAAAAGAACAAGATAGGAAATGGATGCTAAGGAGAAAAAAACAGTATACAGCAGTTTAAGTGAGAACTGACCTACAGGACGTGCCTGAGGAGAAAGGAGTAGTGGGAATTTTTTTGAAAGGAAGGTATTGGCCTAAATTCATGCTGATCATGTCATGCACTTCAGTCACATAAAATGAGATATCAAAGGGCATCTTCACCTCTCTGGTCCAGAAAGAGAAACAGCCACCTCCAGCAGTTGGGTCAGGACCTAGCTGGGCTGAACCACTCTCTGGAGGCACCTCCTCCTCTCCACTCTCTATAGAGGGAGTGCTTGGCTACTGGGGCTAAGGTTTATCTGATGATTTTCATTTGGCTATTCTGACAAGGTTTGTCATCAGCTGGTTGCTGATAAGGAACCTGGTAGTTCAATAGATTGTTTTCTCAACAGCATTTGATAATAAATAAAATGCAAGGTAATAAATAAAATGCAAGACTTACTTATTAGTGGGCAAAATCCATACAGTTTATCAGCATCGAAGTCTGCAGTTGTTGCACACCAGAGCCAGCCATCTGATCTACCAGCATCCGTGCACTCACTGTACTGCTTGCCTTCATATTTGAAAGGGAACACACAGGGCTGTCCATTGGCGTTTCCTTGTAATGTAAACATATCTAGGGGGAAGAAAGGATTAAAAGGACATAGGAAAATAATAACCAAATCATATATCTGACTTCCTAGTAATGGATCTATCTATCAGTATATCTGTTTATCTAAATTGAGAGGTCACACTATCTTTTTAAATTAATTTTTATTTTTCCCACTTGTGTAGCTAGAGTTTTTAAATAAAATGAGGGTTTTTTAGTTAAATTTGGGGTTTAAATACTGTGTTTAGAGTTTGATATATATACTTTGTAGGAAATTCTGTGATGATATGTTGTGGTTCCAGAAGTCAGAAAAATCACAAGTAGATCTCAGATGAGTTCACTGCATTGTTGTGTTCTGTACGGCTCAGTAAGTTCACTTTATCACTCCATCTTTTCATTAATTGTTTAAGGAATAGCTGGCCAGAGACAAGACAGATCAAGTTGTCAGGAGGACATTTACACAGTAAAAATCTTAGGTTTCAATTGCACGTTTCTGCACATGGAGAGATCTTGCAGATTCACCCTCAGCTCAGTTTCTTTCAGGTAGCAATGCTTTGTCTTTTTTAAACTATCACAGTATTATGGGACCATTCTTTTATCTGGAAATTTCTGATACACACTCTCAGTCTCACATTCATGCAAGCACATTCATCTGCTCAGTTCTACATACAATACTGCTTTACCATTTCTCTCTATAGCCATATCTAATGAGTGATATACGTCTTCAGACTAGAACTATTCTTCTGATTTGGTCAGACTGGAGGGGAGGAGCCAGTTCTTCCTTCTCATACCTCAGTCTTGGAGCAGAAAGCTGCACAGCTGTCATGAAAACATGGATCTAAACCACTTTGACTGATCACTGCTCCATGGCTGTGATGGGGAGGGTAAATAAGTAGAGCTCCATGCTTCCTAATCTCTCATTGCCCTTCCATACATTGCTATCTGATTTAACATTTCCATAGAAAGAAATTACAGTTTAAAGATCCTGTTGTTAACCTCCATTTTCCCCAACATTCCTACATCTCCCCTCTCATTCTGCAAATCAAGAACTGCTAAGATAATACCCAACACACTCTTTAAATCATGTATCAAATCTGATAACAAATACAAAATAATCAGTCTATGCATTAAAACTGTAAAGTCGCCCAAGGAAAAGCATTTCATATCTAGAGTAACACAAAACCCACCAGGAACTTACCCAGTGACTGTAACGAGCCATGCACCAGGGAAAGAAAAACTAGGAACCTGGAGAAAATCATTGCAAATGTAGGTTGCTTTTCATTCTTCTACCAAAAGTTGGACTGTAAGATTGGCAGATCCTTCTGAGTGAGGATAGTAACAGGTTCTTCTCTGTGTCAAAGGGTTGATGGATAAAGCTCTGTGCTCTAAATAAGGAAATATCCTGTCACGTGGCATTTTGAAATAACTAGAGTGCACATTGCAAATACTGCTCTCTCTGAAGTGAGAGTCACTTCCAGTACCGAAGTCTCCAACCTTCTAACTAGAGGGGTGACACTTGCCTTTTTCTGGGACTTTGCTCCTATTACACTGGGGTCAGTTGTTGAGGTACTACATAGGACAGACCTCTAAAAAAGCAACTTGAGAGTCAAAGAGAAGAAGCCTGCAGTGAAATATCATTGATTAAAAATGCAGTCTCTGCTTTAAACCTTAGATCTCAGAAATAAATGGAGACAAACCCCAGTGGTTCAGTATATCACTATAATGTCACAGCTCTACATACCTAGAAGAAAGAGGGCACATTTTACAGGATCGGCAGTATTTGGTGAATTATGAATTGTTGCTCATGTGGAGGACTAAAATTGTTTTTTTCTGCACTGTTACACTGCTTGTTTTGATCACAGTTTGGGACTGGGCTGTTTATAACTATTTGTTGAAGATCTGAAAGAAGTGATGTTCAATGCTACAGGGTAGTGGTAACCTTCCCTGTAACAGGAGGGAAACTTTTGCGTGCAATACTTTTGTCAAGCAAAAGGATGTGTTCATCTATCTGAGAAATTCCTAGTGAGGGTGTTCCAGGACAAAGCTAAATGTAAACTAAATTGGAAAATCTCCTTTTAATCTGTGCAAAAAAGTGGTTGTCTGAAGACTTATACTGGCATGGCAATCCTTGTACAACTATGCTGCAAAGCTGTGCTGGCAAACATCCACATGCAGACAAGTCCTACTGTTCCTTTTGGTTTTTTTACATCAGTGAAATTAAAAGAAGTTGTGATAAAAAAATTGAAAAAACCCAAGAAGTAAAATAGTCAGTAGTGAGATACAGAAGCTGAACAGAAGATGTCACATGAAGAGCAACTATCTTTTCTTTTATTCAGAAGGTGTTAGGGAAAACTATTGCAAGAACTGGCTAAGCTTGTTGACTGTTAGAAAGTACTAAGAAAGAAAAGCATTTTCAGTAAAATTAGGAATTGAATAAATCATTTAATAATAACTATTGAATTTGCAGGTGACATTCAGGAAAGCGTACCACGAGCAAGGCTTGCAAGAATACTCGAAAGTCTCAAAGCTGAGTGGTGCCACAGACAAGAATGAGGTGGGAGAGAAATAGAAACAGAGTTTACTGAGTGAAACCATATTTTTGATACACCTGAAATAAAAAAAATAAAATGGCTCCAACCATGCTCCAGGCCAAACTGGGCTTTAGTCCCCCTCTTATGTAAATGGATGCTTGTGGGGATTCAGATCACCAAAGCTGCAGAGTGACTGGGGGTGGTGGGGGAGGGAATAGTGCAGACACTGGAGTAGACTAAAAGAAGAATTCAAACACTTCAGAGCTGCCCCTTTTCACATGACCAACCACCTTGATGCGGCTTACAAGCCTCTGGGGGTCTGTATTCTGCGCGCTGCTTTTCACTTGTGCAATAACCTATTTTCACCAATGTGCCAAATCCTTAATTGTATTTACTCCAAGAAAACAGAAGTCCAGTGCTTAGAAAAGAAACTTCATTACTTTTTATTATTATTTCTTTTAACTTTTCAGCTTGCTCAGTAGATGCTGCACAACCTGGGGAGGGCAGGTGGTTTGCTGGGGTTATCTGCTAAGCACTCTTCCCCATGAAGTGTTTAGTGTCTAGATTATATTTGCAGCTCACTTAAATGCTATTTGGTACTGCTTTCCACTGTTTTTCTGACATCATAAACTTAGTCTTCTTGCAGATTCATCTGTTGCCTTCCTTAGCTTTCAGTTCCTTTTTCTTGCACTTAAAAATGGCAAGTCAGTGCTTATTCAAGCTGAATTCAGAGTGGTGGGGAGAGAAGCCCTCCTTGTTACTGACAAAAGAGTTGTTGTGCAGACAGGAGCACCTCACTTTCCTCTTCTTCTCACTTGATTCCCAGGGAAGTCAGACACTTATACTAATAAAAATTTTATTTATTTCAAAGCATGAATTAAAATATTCTTTTTTGTTAATGTTACTGAACATACTACAGTTAATCATATTATCAGTTTGAAAAAAAGACCAAAAACCCACACCTGAGCTTGATAGCCTTTGCTGGTACGAACCGTATTTTCCATAGCAGAAAATGAAAATGGCAAGGTTTTCTATCCCAACGTTATCTGAGATAAGTCTATGAAACAATAGCAATAGCATACAGCTAGAAGCAACAATAAAAATGCTGGTCCAAGGGAGTGAAGTTTGTGGGGCAAAATGAGTTGAAGATTGCAACCGACTTGGGCAGATTTCATTTTTTGACTTCTTGGCGGTGTCCACAAAGTCATGGGAATACAGTTCTAAATAGTAATCACACTTTATTGAACATTCAGTCTGACTAGTTGACTTTTATAGTCCTTTTTCAGTATGATTATTTGTTCCTGACAAGTTATTTACACTAGTGTTTTTGCTAAGACCCTTGAGAACTTCTCAACTGTTACAAAACTATAAGATAAATCTAAACCCAATTTTGTAAAATATGCGTGATACAAAAGAATGCTAGTGCAAAAAAGATAAAAGGAATTTTATTTAAAATTACAGTTATCCTTAATAGAGACATATAACATCCTTATATTTCAGCAAGTAATTTGTTCCTCTGTATTGGCATATGCCACAGGACCCATTTTCATCAATTCTTCTGTTATTTTAGACACATTATTTTATAAGTGTTTCATTGCCACAATCTCTTGATAGTTGGTTTTGTCTTTTTTTCTTGTAGAAATAGACTGAAATGCCAACTCCAAAAAGAGTGAGAATAGCCAAGAAAACGAGTGGCCAAACAGAGTCATGGACAGCTGGATGAGTCTCTTCCTTTTTTTCCTTGCCTGAAATGAATGCATGTAACCATAAGAAACCTTAGCAGTTCTTTATTCCATCAAAACATAACATCAAAAACATGAAGATGTTCCCTCCTGCCTGAAACTTGGAGTCTGTTCAGTGTAAATCTGAGCCCTGAAATGTTGCAGATCAGTAGCCAGGTCTCTGTTGCCAAAGCTGACATGGTTTTAGTGGATCTGGATTAGTGTGATACACAGTGCATGCAGTGCTTGTAAGAATTTAATGAAAATGCATGCTTTAGATATAGATATGGCATGCTAAATATTTGGAAAATCAGTTTTACAATATTTTTCTATTACATTATGTACAATAGCACCTATGGAAGAAATTTGCATATACATCTAAATAGGTTTTAACAGCCTGGTTAAAGCTCTCTGTGCCTGTTCTCAAAGTTAGTCACAAGTTGGTTCACTGCCAAGCTTGTCAGCTTAGGGTTAGCCCTGCAGCAGTCCAGTCAACCAAGAACATGTGCGTGCTGGTGTGCACGTAAAAGGCACCGTGGGATTACCCTAAGTGATTTATAACTGCATCCCAGTAACTGTCAGTAGGACTTGTTCTTTAAAAGGGGGTGATTTGGGAAAACTCATTTAAAGTTCTTCTTGTATTTAGATTTTAGTTAATTCTCTTATGAAATCTCTTACCTTTTTTCTGTAGAGGACTCCCACTTGGCTCAGCTTCAATGAATATCAGAAAGAAATAAAATGACACTTCATTAGAATTCATGTCTGACTGTTTTTCTAAAATCATACAGGAACAAAAAACCCTGCAGTATTACCATTGCATTAACAGCATACCTGTCTGTTATAAAAGGCAACATAAGTGAGGCAAAAACTGTGTTGCTGAGGTTTAACCTTCCTACTTTACATTACCAAGCTATAATATTCATTCATTTAAAAAAATATATTATTTTTATATCTACCAACATTCAAATGCTGACACTTTTCTATGTTTATTCAAAAAATACATTTTCTTTTTTCCCCCGAAATATTAATTTCAATTTACTAAGAACATGATGTACAACTCTGGAGATTAATTTTATATAGCACATTTTAGAAAGCTGTGCGTGTCCAGCAGAAAACTGTTGTTACCATAAAGTTTAGGATTCTTAAATGACTTCCTTCTTGTATTTCTCCTCTTGGCTCTTTTACGTTACTGTTTGAAAACAGACTTGCTACCAGAGGAGAAGTTACAAAGACAAAATGTACAATGGAATTAAAGCAGAGCAGAATGTAAAAGGAATAGGTACAAGGAAACAGTATCTCCTCCTAAGGCAGGAAATAGATACATATGAGAGCATCTTATGATGAATAGGATGGATTTTAGTGCTTCTTTATTATTTTAGTACTATATGGGTTGGAATATAATTTGGATGTTCTTGGTAAAACTTTAATGAGGACTGATTTACAGCCATGGGCATGTACTGATTTAAGCATGGAATTTAACAGTGCATGGGAGGTGACTGTTATTGGTTACATTTCAATTTGTTTTTTAAATTTAAGACTACATTTGCAAAATGACTAAAAGCAAACCTCAAATTTTCAGTTGTTTTTCTGAGGTAAGATTGATTTTAACACCTAACTTGAGAATGGAATGATAGTGTTTTCTTTCAGACCATTATATCTTTTTAATCTCCACTTGAGAATACTACATGAGGGTTTTTTTTTTTACCTCTGACACATTAGTCTGGTGTATACAGTAGTGCGTGAAACTTTCTACAAGTGCTGATAAGACAGCTTCTGTAATGACTTGAAGTTTTCATTTAATAGGGAAGTACTCATTATTATTACACCACAAACAGCTGTCCTTTTAGTAACCCTGAGGCATTGCTGACTTAAAGGTTGTTGAATCAGGCCCTGTATGAAGCCAGTTCTTGATGATGGGCAGTAATACAGTTTTTGAGTATAACAAGCTTGAAGAGCAATCTTGATTATTCACATTAATTCCTCCTTGCAAGGGTATAACAGCTGTTACAATACTTAGCTGTTTAGTCACATTTGCACAAGTGTTTGACAGATGCCATGCCAACGCCTGTGTTAGGTAGTCAAAAGTTTTCTGAAAGTCTCGTTCTCAACCTACAGTGCATACAGCATGTGAGTGCAGTGATGTGAAAAGCTCGCAGTCTGCAAAACCAGGCAGCTACAAATGTTTAGAAAAGTGGGATATGCCAAACAAAACTGTCAGAAATTACTTCTAGACATGTAGCAAAGGGCTATCACAGTTACTAGTAAACAGATCTGCTCTATCACTAAGGGGTCACTTGCTAAGGACTTACTTTTGGGTTTTTTGCAGATAAATCCCCTTCCAGAAGAGCAATCAGCGTTGTCCCAGTAACCGGATGGTGGTATCATTTCAACACAGTGATTCTCCATACTAGACTCTTTGTCCTCCCAGTTGACAAAGTCCAGTGCAGCGTTATCTAGCCACAACCATTGGCCTAGAGAGAAACATACTGAGTCAGAAAAGATTTAAAAAGTATCTCATAGATATTTTAACTCCTTAACTCAGCAAATTACTTCAAAACTGTAACAGTAACCCATTCTTCAGCAGAAGACCATTTCTTGTAAAAATACAGTTGTCCTCAATTTTCTCATATTAGCAAAGCATTTTTCAGTTAAATATGAAAAGACATTACCATCCACATTTTGGTAAAGTCCTATCCAGAAACCTCCTACTTTATTTCCAAGTGGTTGTACTGTATGGACCAGAAAGTCAGATTCATCCATGTTTTCTACTGAAACCAAGGTAGCACCTGAAAGTTATAACAAGCAAATAACCATAATCTACATGAGCAACTACTGGAATTACCTCCTCTTTCAAGTTTGTACAAAAAATAACTTTTGAAAATATTATGCATGCTACTCTATTGGCTTCCCCATTGCTTCTTGCCGACAAGGAAAACCTGGAGGTGTCCCCCACCACTGCCCCCAGAATGGTGCCTGAGAAGCCAGGAGCTGATGGTGAGCTCTACACTTGAGGAAGCTTCAGCCCCTGCAGAAGACCCAGACAGAAGGCTGCACAAAGTCACTTGTGTCAGTTTATTTTCATTGGGCTAGATTTAGAATAGCTTGGTAGGTAAGTAAAGTGTTTCTAATGATTTTTATTTTAAATCAATGTTTTTACATGTTTATGTGAGTTCTGTACAAACTCTTGTACAAATCTTGTCAGGTGATAATGAAGGTGCTTACCTAACCGAGCACACTCGAGGGAAGCCAGCGCCCAGCTTGTCCCAGCTGATGCTTCGATGTAGTAGCAGTGGCCATGGTAGGGGATCCAGGCTTGGAGTTCAGCTGCTTCAGGACAGTCTCCAGGCAGCTGAGCAGGGTCAGTAGGAGCTATAGCTAAAGAAGCCATATGGTATGAAACTGGTATTTCATTATGAGTAGCCTATGAGGTAGGATATGTGTTTCAACAGTGTGGGATTTCTCTCACCCAGGTTTAACTATCTAGACCTTTACTCCTGACTATTCCTACAGGCCCCTGCTCAAACAACTGGGAAAGCCAGACAGTCACAAGTGTGAAATGCCTTATTTCTCCAATCACATTTCTTCAGGCAAGGAAACAAATCACATCCTGCAGCTAGCTGCCTTGGCAGTACTGTGAGGAAAGCAAACCCTGAGTGATGATACACATCTCAAATTTGCATTCTCACAACACAGAAAGCTGTTGTAGGGCAAGGAATCATTGATGCTACAGTCCCATATTGAATGGCAGCCTGGTCCCTGTATGTTGCCATTTTATACAAAGGAGCCATCGGTGGAGCATGCCTCTGTCAAATTAGTATCCGTTTCTGATGACATCTGCAGCTCCCATTCACTTCTATCGGTCTGCGATTCATGCATTGCCACCTTCAAGGGGCAAAATCTCACATCAGGAACACACTGTATAATGTATTCGTAAAAGCTCAAGGAGGAAAAACAACACCTTTCTACAAAATCTACCAGCAAACATGCCTCTGAATACCTCTACAAAGGGTTAAAGCATCATTCACATTCCCAAGATTCCTACAGCTACATCAGAACTACTTTAGCTCTAACAATAGTGAACAGGAGTGAAATTCTTGCCTGTTTTTTGGCTCAGTGACACCAGTGTGTGTCCAGTTATCCAAGTTGCTGCAGTCCACCAGTCAGTGAACATTCCCAGCACTTATATTACACACAGTCTCAAGTGTGATTTATGCTCATGTCTCAGAAAGACCAAAATACCTTGAAGAGTGAGCTTTGGCTTATGCAAACAGTTATGACTACCATGAAAGCAGTGCAGCCACATCCGTTTGCATAAGAGGTTTACATGTGCCTGAATTCATATATTATCCAAGATAAAAACTCCAGATTCTGCAGGTGGTACAAGATATCCTGAAGCATACTCCTCTGAGGGTTTTAGCCCAAGCCAGAGCAAAGACACTAGGATTAGGAAGACTAATGGAATTTGGAATGTGTTTTTAAAATAATGACATTCATTTGCTTACCATCTGATGTCTTACAAACTGAAAAGTAGCTTTCATTGCAGGAAGCTGTTTTCCAAGTACCATCAAGATCTAGGTAGACACAGGCATTTTTCTCCTTTGGTTCCCCTGCAGCCCATTTTGTGTACCTGGTTCTCCAGTTATCAGTCCATTTGTAATAGCTGCCAGTCTGAAAATAAAGTAGTTCTGATAACAGATTTTTTTTTTTACATAAAAAGTGCTGACACATAACTATAGTGTCCTATATCTACTTGAGGTTACTTGGGCAAAACAAAAAAGCCCTGTTCTGCTCTCTGTTTTTTTAAACACCATGTGCTAAGCAACATGGGTGCTCTCAGTTACACAAGAACTACATATGAACTGTGTTCGAAATAACACAAACTTCTACAACGTGTCAAGTAATTCAGATGACTCCATCTTAGCCCATTTAGTAAATCCATATCAAGAGAAGCAATTACAGAAAATTCACTCTTTTATTTAAGTTAAAAGTGGGACCTATTTGGTGAATAAATATTACTTGACATTAAAGAGTCAAAATCATCTTAAATATCTCTCTAATACTCCTAATAACTTTAATATAATAGTTATAAATAACCCTCCATATAGCTGGGAGTTAGCCTTCCAGAATGGCTATCGTTTGCTTCATGATGCTGCACATCCTGGTTTGCGACTCTCAGTCTGCACTTCTATTTCTTTTACCATTTCTAGAGCTTTCCACTTTCATCTGTTGCTACCTGCTTAACCTTTTCTGTGACTCTTCATTTGGTGCATGAAAGTCTTTGAAAAACCCTAACAGAGCCACTAGAACTCTATGCATATACACGGTAAAGCCATTCAGAGTACAGTTGTTTCAGCACTGGTATAAGTTAGGCATCCAGCAGGTCTATAAAGAGGAGGAAATCTCACCAAACACCTGCACCTCCCATCAGTCCAGTACTTACCATATTGCTGTTAAGACCAATCCATACAGGTTTTCCGTATTTCAACATCTGGATCCACAGGAATGAATGGATGTAGGCGTCTGAAATGCTGGCAAGTTCTGCGGATTTGTCTTGACAATTTTTTCTGGCCTCTTCCCATTGCATTTCAGATGAGATGATTGTATAGCTACTGTCACCATAATGGGCAAAGCCAGAGGATGGATTTGTTGTTGGTACTTCAGACTGCATGGTAACTGTGGAGGAAAAACAATGCAAGAATTCATAACATACCACTTATCTCTAGCAAGGAAGCTATGAAAAAATGGTCAAAAGGTCCAGTATTAACAATGAGTCAATATCTTTATTTAAGCTTATGAACAATTTGTTAATGAATTTAAAAAAAAAAATAAATCCAAACAAACTTGCTGTAAAACCTGAACCAAATTGGTTAACATAAAAAACCAGAGTGAAATCCGGGATGCCCTGAAAGAGAGATTATACTTGCTAGAGGCAGGACTAAGAATCATAAACTGGATATTTAAGGTCCTGTGCTTTAAGGTATCTTGGCTAAATCTTGATATCTAAGTATACACCTATTTCAGATCACTGGTGGAAGGGACTTCGGGCTAGACATTTAAGGCATTTACTGTTGTATCCTGTTACCACCACCTGAGACTCTGATATTTGATGTTAACTGGTCACGACTCACTGTTGACTCAAGCCTGACTTTAAGGGCTGCCTGAACATTTGAGTCAGGCAGCATACATTTCCTCCTTGAGGTTGTAAACGTGTACAGAAGAGCTGTAACTGGTATTGAGCAAACTAAAAATGCCTCCCTAAAATGTTGTGTTTGCTGTGCAGGGAAAGGGGATTCTTACAGGCAAGTTAGCTATGCTGAGAGTGAACAGGTTACAGGAGCTGGCTGAAGTGGGGGAGGGATATTTTTACTAATGCTGTAATAAAGGTGAGGCAAAACTGTTTTTTTTATCTGTTCTTTGCCTTCTCCATGACCGCTACATGGCTGGGCAGCAGGGATTTACGTACTTACAGCTCTACAGCAGGAGAGTCAACATTCATTAATAATTTTGGTGTTAAAATAAAATTAAAAAAAAAAAATCAATATTCTTCTACAATAAAGACACAGCCAAGAAGTTGTACATTTTAATAGATTACATATGGCATTCAGTAGAAATGTTAAGAGAGAATTAAATGATCTGCTCAGAGACAGCCAGGAATATGGAGAGATCACTGCAACAGCCTGGCTTTGCACTGCACTTAAAGAGGATGCCTAAAGTCTCATATTTGACTGAAAAGAAATCCATTTCCATTTATTATTCTCTAGTACTATTTATGATTTAGGTACAAAGCCCCAATTAAACAGTGGTTCCTCTCCAGCAACTTCTATGGAACAAATTATACTTTAAGAATAGCCTAGCTTAATAGTGGTGGAGCTCTGAAAGCCCAAGAGACTAAGAGTGAGACTCAAATCTGAAAGTAATCCCATCAGTTTATATAGTCAGTTTATCTGACTGAGATACTTTCTCTGTTTAGGAGACTGGCTTAAACAGAACTCACGTGAATTCATCTGGCATATATAACCTCTCTCGTTGTCACAGCTATCATCTCTCCAGTTCCCATCTGACTTCATGATGAAGACGCAATCTGTCTGAAGGAGAGGGGAAGATGCACAGCCATTACAAAAGGCAGTCAGGAGCACCTATACTCCTAGTGCAAACCTGATAACAGATAAGAGAGGAGAGGTGCTCATTGAACACCTATGTAATTACTTCCAGTTTCCTAAGTTTCTGCCAAACAGCTTGACCTGGTATTTATTTGTGACCCCTTAAGTTTGAACCTGACTTCCATTCCTCCCAGTCAAAGTCTGAAAAAAGTCTATTAAAAATGTTACCAGTTTTATTAATAAATTTCTATAGTCATAAAGGATAATAGGGTACCTATAATAAGTCTTCTCAGTTCTGATTTGTAGGACTTCTACAAAGTATTTCCATCAATTGGAAGAACAATATAAGAACTATTACTAAAAGCACAAGTCTGAATTATCTTAACCGAAGCAGACTATCTTGCAGAAAGCAGGTACTCTTTACTAGTTGTTTGTAGTCCTTATCAAGTTATCACTAGCAGATGTCTTTACTAACAACCAAATTTTCCCTTTACTTCCTTATGTTTAATTTCTTCAAGAATTCTTTCATGGCTCCCCTGATTTCAGGACTGGCCATGACTCTCTTTCAGCATTTCATCTGAGCTTCCCCCTTATGCTGATTTAAGCAAGTTTCAGTTATAAGCAGGTTGCCTGGGAGTAGATTTTAAAAAATCTCTGATGACTTAGCTGCCCATCATTTCTTCAAAAACTGTGTGTTTACCTGCTTTGGAAAAGAGATTGATTTCATCAGAGAAATAGCCCTTTTATTGAGGTATCATTTGGTTCCATCAGAAACTAGTAAAGCAGCGTGGAAGCACGTTAGGCAGGAATAGGACATATACACATACAAATTAATCTTGCACCAACAACCTTAATTTTGGTTTTTCATAACTTCTGCATTTGGTGTTGCAACTTTAATGTTTGTGCTAATGCAGTCTGTGGGGGAACGGATGTAATATATGCCTCTTCGGGCTTGTTTTGCAGAACTGGTGTTTTGCAATAGGTCAGATGGAAACACGAAGTCCCTCTTGTTCAGGAACTCTGCCAAACATTTTTGGTGTATTTGGAATAGTTATCAGGTGATTCTCTAGCCCTCATTCTGCTTACAGAAGGTCTTGCTTCAGCATCTTGTTATTGCGGCTCTAACTTTCCTTTTAAGAAAATCATCTAGCTGTGCAAGATATACAGGCTACTTAAATTTTCTGTACCTCCACGGTGATGTCTGTCAACATTTCAAAGTCATAATAGTCAAAGTAGCTTTGTCTCTGTTCTGGTGCACCATTAACCCAGTTGGTGTAGGAAACGGTGCTTCCATCTGTCCAAAGAAACGTGGACTCTTCATTGATATCATTCATTCCGATCCAAACATCAGTTGTGGCATCTTTTAAATGGTAGAAGAGGAAAGCTAGAGAGAAGCAAAAATTTCTCATTAAGGAAAGCTCATTGTGACTTTTCCAAAACAGGAAAAATGTGCAAAAGCCCAGAACTGGGGCCAAACTAAAAGGATAACCTTTCACACTACAGACTTCATCTGTCGTTAAATAAATGTTTAGATAAGCATCTGTAGGAACATATGTTACATAAGCACTGAGGTTGAAAAAATATTGCCAAGAAGAAAGGTCTGGAGCAAATTAGAAAATGTCCCCTTCCCAAGTTCCCTGCTGTGTATGCACACATAGTGCTCCAGCAAGTCATATTGCCAGCGAGAAAGACAGAAAATACAAATGTCTGTCAGTCTGAGTAATCTGTGCAACCACACTCAAAACAGACTGGAATTTTCATGAATAGTGAGCAACTGAAAGAACTAGAAATACACACTACTTCTTATATGCAATAATTTAGCTGTTGTTTCACACTTTGGAGTTAAAACGAAACATAAACTGACCTGCCTAATAAGCAATTTTCATCAGATAATTCCATAATCTATTTTGGAGAATACAGCAGTTTCTTTAGTGAGAGATTAAATCTGTTTTCTTTCAATAAAGCCCATATATGTACCTTGCACTTGTTCATTTGCTATGGTAGCCAGGTTTCCTCCCAAATTGATACAAGCATCTCGTGCAGCGTGCCACATGAGTTTTCTTGTTACACTGGAAGCAAATACTTTGAAACACTGGAAAAAAAGCAAGCACTTCAACTAGCAAAGATGGGAACTGTTGCTGGTGACTAATATCAATTAGCTATAGGGGTGTATGTTTCTCCAGAAACGGAAATCAGGGCTAGAATAAGTGACAGAGCTCACGGATATGTCTGCCCATTTAGATACTTAGCCCCTCTCATTACACAAGGTGTAATCCAGGAGTCTAGTATAACCTGAACTGATTGTAATGATGTCAGGTACATAATCCTTTTTCACATTTTCATCTGCCTGCTTCCTGCAATAACAGAGGGATCATTTAAAACCAAGGAAATGCGGCTTCGGGTGACTTAGCTGCAGGGAAAGAACGCTACTGTACCTTGTCCTGCTTCCAGTGACTGTGGATTATGACCATTCATCCTGCCAAAGTCTATGAAATATCCTTTTACACATTGACCTAACATTCTGAGCATACAATAGTAGTGCAGTGTATATAGCGTAGACAAAATAATCTTTGGTAAATAGAGCTTCAACTCGAATTGGTACAAATTCTTCTGTTACAGCAATGACAACTTCCAGACAATGACTGAATGTAAAACTATACTCAAAACAATTGTAATTTTTCACTGTCTTTCTGAACTCTAGCTTTGGGAACTCTGTGCAAACCAAAGGGATTGCTCAAACACATTCTCTCTAAATCATTCCACCTGAAGGGCTTTTTTTTTTTTTTTCGAAGACTGACCATTACAAATTTCAGTTTCTAACATAAATACATGAAACAGAAGAGGAGGAGGGTTCTACTTGAACAGTCAGTGTATTTCAGCCTGCACAGACTATGTTCTCTGAAATTTATTCAGCATACATCTACTTTTATTGTATTTTTGTGCAAAGTTTTATGTCTAGAGTCACTTCCAAAAATCCCAGCCATCATGTTCTGACTGGATAATTACTCTCCAGATTTATTTTATAATCATAAGAAACATATTTTTGCAGTTCTTTTTTTCAATTTCACAGCTTTACACAATTTTCTGAAGATACTTGTTGACATACCTTGTTGTTAAAGAAAAACCAACTTTCTGGACATCCTCCAGGAGGTAATGGAGAAGAAAACGTTGAATTAATAGTACTGTTGTGTTTTTCACATATGAATTTATTGGAGGAACCACAGTTCACATCATTCCACAAGCCTAAAAATGATTGAATTGAATAAACAAGTTGTAGTATTTGTACCAATAATTTATCAGTTCTTATTCTGACTTAGGAAGAGGCTCATCTCTACTGTTCAGACTGAAAAAAGTTAGTAAAAGAACCACTCACTGAATTTATGCATTCAATTTTTTTACAAACAGAATGTTTATGGACTTCGGCTGCTCAGCACTGTTAGTTGCTGGGCTACTGTCTGGCAACCGAAAAAAGAAGGAAGGACTGGGAAGAAAGAACCAGTGACTCAGAACAAATACTCTGGTCATCAATTAACTTAATTTTACTTTCTCCACCCTCCCCACCTTTATCCATCAAAGAGTCTGAGTAGAATTACAGGAGAAAGGGGATGAGAAAAAGCGAGCTTTTTTGTTTTAGGAAAACATAATGTTCTCTTTTTTATATTTCAGGCTGCTCCATGTTCTGAAGGCAAAGTAACCATGGCAGCTTTGAATGAACCAGTTGAAGCTCTAATAATGGCATAGCTATAGCCCCTTGTGCTTGATTTGAACTGCCTGTCCCTTCTGCTCCTCATCCAGGACCCTCCACAGTGTTCGTGATTTGTTCAAGCTGTGGCAACGTCACACTGCAAGCAGCAGGGGAAATATACCAGCAAGCAAATTTGAAAAGAAAATGGATCAAAAAATGGAGGAGATAGGAAATACCAGATCAATCTAAGAGCACAATATAGTGTTCAAACATACGTTATGAAATATGTGCCATCTCCTTGGGACAGACAATTCAAGTTAATATGTTATCTAAGGATTCAGTTTGCAGATTAAAATACCTCATTTAAGTTGTCAAGATACACTCTAGTTTTCTAAGCTACTATTATAATCAATATAGAGCTAGGGGATGATTCATTTGTCTAAACAGAGGTGCTTAGCGCCATTTGAGAGGTTACGCAGGGTACCTGCAGAGACCTGATGGATACGGCGCTGTTTCTGTGGGAAATTTACAGTCAGGTAGGCTAACACTAGGACATCTCAAGTGGCTACAGTCACCTACATGTAAGCAAATGAATACTGAACTAGAATAAATTGAATTGCTCTTCAGTCAGCACTGACTGTGCAGGTGAGATCTCCATTTGACCATCACAAGACTTTGGAGGTCTAGTTCACGTTAGCTACACCTTGTTGTCTGCTCAAGCTTAAAGCTTCCCTTATAGTCCAATTCAGTTGCCCACCTGTAAAATTCTAGCATCATCTGAGGAATGCTGAGCCATCTGTGCAGAGCTAGTAGATATGGCAGGGATCAGTGGGATAGCTGCCCCTTTCTGGATAAACAATTAAATCGCAATCAGACCATATACCTATGTTTAGAAAAGTGAATCTTGTTATTGGTGTCTTCATATAAAGGAAGAATTTCAAGTGGGATTGCTGAGCGAATTCTTTATACAACATTCTGCCCCTGTACTCTGCTCTGGTGAGACCCCACCTGGAGTGCTGCATCCAGCTATGGAGCCCTCAATATCAGAAGGATATTGACCACTTGGAGCGAGTCCAGAGGAGGCCACAAAGATGATCAGAGGGCTGGAGCACCTCTCCTATGACGAAAGGCTGCAAGAACTGGGCTTGTTCAGCCTAGAGAAGAGGAGGCTCCGAGGAGACCTCATTGCAGCTTTCCAGTATCTGAAGGGGGCCTACAAGGGTGTTGGGAAAGGACTTTTTACAAGGGCCTGTAGTGATAGGACAAGGGGTAACAGGTACAAATTGAAATCAGGGAGGTTTAGATTAGATATCAGGAAGAAATTCTTCACAGCGAGGCTGGTGAGGCACTGGAACAGGTTGCCCAGAGAAGCTGTGGATGCCCCATCCCTGGATGTCTTCAAGGCTAGGCTGGATGTGGCTTTGAGCAACCTGGTCTAGTGGAAGGTGTCCCTGCCCATGGCAGGGGGGTTGGAACTAGATGATCTTTAAGGTCCCTTGCAACCCAAACCATTCTATGATTCCATGATTCTATGATTCTATAAATTGAGAGATTGATTTCCTTATATGTATATTACTGAATTCCTATTAGCCTCAGCTAGTTTACATAAATACAACCAAGACAAAAAATTAGCTCAAGGATTTGCAAAATATTTACATTTAAGAGTACTTACAGGCAAGTAAGACACTCTTAGGTCATTAAATGTATTTGTCTCTCTCCTCTCCTTATTGGCTTATACCTTCAATCCCCCTATTTCTTGTAGCCGTCATAAATGTTATCATAAGTTCATAGGAGCAAAGACAGCCCCACTCAACTTTTTACTTTGATAAATAGTGAAAAACCCTGTAAAAAGGTGCAATACCAGTCTTATAAATCCAGACAGAGACATCTGCATTAAATTACCCATGGTAATGAAATCTCCCCATTCTAAGGACAGAGTCTTACATGACTGGTGGTTACACCAGTAACTGCATCTTGCTGGCTTTTCACTGGAAAGGAATTGCAGAAAACAGTCATAAAAGATTGAGTGACAGCTGACAACAGAAGTTTGACAGCATCAGTTATAATGAGCAGAGACAAGTAAAATCTAATGGGTTATCCTTGTTACTTACCTTGCTCTGACAACATTACCACACAATTTTCATCATTATTTGCAAAGTTGGGCTCATTAGGAGCCCAGGCCACATAGGTTACGGGAGTCCCATCTATCCAGCTTAAAGAAAAGATATACAAGTAGTTATTAATTAATACACTTCAATTTTGAGATGAGAATCATAATTAACATCTCACAATTAAGAAGGTCCATAAGCATTAGTGTGAAGTAGAAGGACTGCTACAGATTTTCCTTTCAAGCATATTTTCCATTGACAGGCAGGAGTGATCAACCATCATTTAATAACAGAAACTGTTTTCAGTTAGCCATAACGTGTAATACAGAAAAGACTATTAAAATGTTTATTTATCTTAACTGATTTCATTGTATCACCTAGTTAATACTATGCTTTGTGGTCTGAGCATTGATGATGTTTTCACAGATGCAAACAAGGACAAAAATACTTTTCTGCAGGTTTTACCCTGAAGAGAAATATTTCCATAAGTTATTTCTATTAAGTCTCATGTCTGGAAACTAATAGACATTCTGTCAGCTTTAAAACCTCTCTTTCTGAGATGTCAACATTGATGTTTTTTCCTTTATGCTTACATACTTTTTACTTTAATACATTGATATTGAAGGAAGAAGTTGACACTGTATTTTAATCAATATTTCAGAATTTAGGTCACTCAGCCTGAAGTGGGAAACAACTTCAGCTTCCTCATCTACCTCTTGATGCTGATGATATAGCTGATCTAAATAAAAGAGCTGCTCACTGGACCCAAGAAACGCTCCTTCTTTAATTTGCGTCCTAAATCAGGAGATTAGAATCATGCACTGACTCAGTCACTATCAACTTGTCTCTCCCCACTCCTCTTCTGCCCTTTACAAGGTTAGTGATTCACAAACACTCAACAGTGGAAATAAAACAGAAAGGTTAAATTCAGGTCTCGTCTAAACCTGTTTCAGTTCAAGATTAGAAGCATAGCCTTTCACCTCCCAGATGTGTCCTAACTAGTAGATGGGAAGGTAGGCAGCATCAGTATCATGCTCTTCAGTATGTTTTACTTTAGTTTTGAGTTTATTTGTGTGTTGGACTTTTTGCAATACTTGTTAATTTTACTGTAAACTTCTGCTGACTTTTCTTCTTGAACGGGAGTTTGCAGAGGCAACCTTAAAGTCCTCTGTCAGAAGCAGCTTTTGTACTCATTGTCCACATCTTCCTAATTCTGAAGGACCTCTCTGAAGCTCTAACATATAGATAAAAAAATAAGAAAGCTAGGCTCTATGGTATGGAGCCTATTTTAAGTGTGTTTATAGATATAAAATCCAGTGTAGTAAAGTATCACTCCAATTTATGGGGCAAATCTTTGAAAGAGATTCGAGAAAGTGTTTATGGAGAGTACAACTGCCAAATCTTTCTTTGGGTAAGTGTTTACTCAATAAAAAAAAAAAAATGTTTTAAGAGTATTCTAAAACTATTCTGTTTGCTTTGTACTTGTTATGCGGAACTGCCTTGAGTTCTTGAAGACAACACAGTACCTCCAACTACATAACATGTAGGAAAAAATACACTGTGTTAAGAGCTGCAGCGGTCATCTTAACTTACCTAAACTTTTTATCAAGACTCACTTTTAGACCAATGAAGTATCCTCTTGACTGACTCCAGGATCCCTCCTAAAACAAAAATATATTATTTTAATTAAAAACAAACAAACAAAAAAATCAACAACAACAAAAAAAACCCAATCCAATCAAAACTTGGAAATAAAATAAGCAGAAACAGATGTGCCATTATCAAGTTCATAGGGCAGTCACTGAAGTCAACAGAAGTAAAGCATGTGTTTAAAGTTAAGCACAGCTATGTATTTACACACTCAGGTGCAGAAGCCACATTTTTATCTAGAACATCAGAGCTGAGTCCTGCAGCGCTGAAGACCCTTAGGATGGGGCAGGAGAGAAGCCGATCTTGTGTCAGAAACTGGTACATGTCTTTCATTTTCCCTCGAGGAATCTAGCATCATCTAATGCCGACCTCAAGCCTCCCCCTCATACAAGCTGCTTCCCAAGCCAGCACATCTGGCACTTCCTCACATCACTCTTCCCACCAGCCTGCCAGCACAGCTGGCACAGAGCAGGAGAGACCAGATCCCATGGGACCAAAAGGTGCATTTAGGGGGAATTATAGATTTCATCTCAGATGGATTTTGTTAGTGAAAATCCTGATGGCTCTACTTCTGCAGCAATTGAAGTTTTGCAAGCAGATTATCAAAATAATTTCTACTTTAGGCTGCCTGTTTATAATAATTCTTACATTTTCTTTTAGTGCTCGCTGTAGGAACCGTCTCTCACTATTGCTGTTAACAACAGCCAAGTTAGCAGAATTCGTCCTGCAAAACTCTTGGGCTTTTTCCATGGAGACATATTCTTTGCTGATGTAATATAGTTTGTCTTCATATATGACCCATCCATCCGCAGTGCGTTTATATGCTGGAATACAAATTAGGTAGCCTTAAGTTCTACGTCTGTAGAGCACAAAAGCTGATTCTAGAAGAGCAATTTTAATAAAAGATAATGAACAAGATGAATAAATGTACTCAAAATCCTACCATATGTGTCGATTGGCTCAGATTTTAATGGCACTCCTGCAAAACAGAAGAATAGAAGGCGTGACGCATATTTGTAATGTGTTCTACGATGTAGCTTGTGACTGACTGGAAACATCAGTGAGGAACAGAGCAGGATTCTGCACTCCTTTGCCATTGACCAGAAAGCAAGCTTAACCACACATTTCAGCTACACATTATGCAATACGCATGACCATCTACTTATAATTTATATCATAAGCTGTGTTTCACGTCAGCAAAGTCACAACTTTGGCTGGGTCATATTCTTGAGCAGAGCAATGTAAGGGACAGTTGCTCTTCCAGTCTGTAAGTCAGAGTAGATTTATCTGAAACACTTTAAAATTTGGTTTTACAGCCCCATTACTAGATATTCCATAATCTTCCAGAGGGGTGGTCTTATCCAGCGGGAGAAAATTTCCACTAGATTTACTTTTGCTCTATCAATCAAAAAATTCTTTCAGTCCCAAATATTCATAAGCAAAAGGAAATATGACTATATATACCGACTGCAAGTTATTTCTGGTTCTAATAGGAAAAGAAATGCCATTTGAACCATTGCTTTTCCAAAAGCATTTGAATACTGAATGACATTAAAGGAGAACTTGGAGCACCACTAAACCTTTGGTGTACAAAGATTCTGAATTTGGTTTTCAGCTTTACCTATGTTACTGTAAAAACTGTATTCCTTACTGTATTGTAAGGAATTCACAACTTCTTACCTCCTACACTACAGAAATACAAGCAAAAACTTCTTAATATTCAAAAATTTTCCAATCTATGAAACCTTTGCAAACACATTGATTATTTATACATCCTAATTTACTTGAAGAAAGAAATCTATTTATTATCATCTAATACTGAAAAATCCTGGCCTATATTATGTGACCCAATGCTCTTGACTTCCATTTAGAAAAAGTAGTTCCTCAAAATGTTGTGACTTTTTCCAGAAACTTAAATTAGAAAGCAACTACTTATGAAGTTATTTAAGGTTCTTGCTTAAAGAGAACAATAACTCTACCTTTTCTTATTTGACAAACCCAGTCAAAGTGTGCTTCACAGATCGAAAGAAGCCATTGTTTAGAATGAGTTCCACCACTGAGTACACCACATAACTTGCGTCCTCCTGGATCTCTTGGACTGTCATCCCAGTTTGTGTACCTAACCTATAGAAGAAATAATCTTTCTTACTCTTTTCGTCTGTTTCAGCAGTTGTACTCTCTACTTGCAAATAGAAACAAACTCTTTTTTATCTGAAAGATTCCATCTCCCACAGAAGAAAAGGTGCAAATATAGGGATAAGAATTTTTACAGTGGGGTAATGATGTCAGTGATCAGGAGATCAGTCTGGCTTGCTATGGAAGGGTTTTCCCTTGTTTGCGCCGCAAGCCCTAGACACAGCCAGAATAGAATGAGGCAAATGGACCGATTCTAATGAACTTTGCTTAGCTGTGAAATTCACCCCCATTCCATTCATGCTAATCATGTGCAGACAAGGTAGTTTTCACTTCATCAGCTGTGACCTGGTTCAAAATTACATTGTCCAACAGCCATCTGGTGACAGTAACCATATCCTGCATCAATTCAGCATTCACATCTTCCCTTCCCTGTGGTTAACGAGTAGGGAAGTGTGGCTTTTGCGGGGAAGTCATGTCCTACAAACCTAGTGGAGTTACTTTAGTAGAAAGAAATATCCAAATAGGAAGGGAGAACTGTTTGATATAACTTACTTGGGATTTTCAAAAAGTTCTTGATGAGATCACTTCCCAAAACTTTTATGGAAACTAATGTAGAACAGAATAAGAGGAAAGGTCCTCACTTGGGTTAAAAAATAGGGAATAGAAGGTAGGAGTAAAGGAGCATAATAAACAACAGAACCCTTCAGAATCCTGGATATTCACATGGGCTCGAGATGACTAGATAAATTAATGGAAATAAATAAATTATTATTACAGAACTGAGCAATGATTCTGAAAGACCCTGAGACATCACTTACCGGGGGATGCAAGTGTGCACTGGGAAATATGTTTGCTGTTTGATTAACTCTTAAGAACCTTCTGACCACTGCCAGAGGCAGGATACAAGGTCTGGTATGATGAATTCTTACGTTTTGATTTTATGTGCTCATATTATATTTTTGGAAAAGAAAATAGGTTGGAGTCCTGTGCAGAAAACTACAGATCTTCATGAGATACAAATGATCTCCATGTATTCAAATGTGTTGCCATGATTTGATTTAAGATAATCAATGTTAACAGCTATGTAAAAGTTTGCAAGGTATCTTCTTTGATGAGGATAACATTAAAAACCTGAAAAGTGTGTGTACAAACCCCAAAACAACTTAAGCAAACAAATTTGATAGAATATTAAAGTACTCACTGGAGAGCCATCACTCCAGGCAAATCCTTCATCTGGATTCAAGGAAAATATACCAAGCCAAACTCTTTGAAACCTACAGCGATTGGCACTAACAGAAATTACAAGGCAGAGCAGGGTGTAAACATCAACACAAAAAACATGCAGACACACATCACCAAACTTTCAAGAGCACATTATGAAGTCCAGTGAAGTCATAATAATTACCCTATTGCTTTTGGTGAAGGACATACAGATACGTATGTACTTTATAGAAATATCTAATATTTCTATGGCTCAGTGGCAATGGCTTATTTATCAGACTTATTAGGGGTACTGATTCTATATTTCCTGTGTTCTGTTTTCTTAAGAAAAACCTTCACAGATTCAGAAAATAGTCTCAGCATCGACTACTTCAAAGTGTTTCTAAAGTAAATATGTTGGTCATGTTTTCTACTGTACTGAAAATACCACCCCTACACACAATTTCATGTATTTCTAGTAACCATGATAAACATGAAACCGTTACAAATATTAATTAGTAGATGAAATCTCAAAGTATCACATTTTCCATGTCTTCTGAGGAATCCATGTTTCAGAAATCATCTAAGAGCATTCATAATAATTCATATGAAACGTGTCTTAAATCTGGTAACTTAAGCACAGAGCAGATACTCACTATATTGTTCTTACAAGTAATGGTACCTCCTCTTTACTGTTAATGGTGACCAGATCCCCTCCTATTTGTCTACAAAAGTCTCGAGCTTCAAGCCATGATTTCTTTTTAATATCTGATCTGTAAAAACACTGTGGAGAAATTACTTTAAAACATATTATATATGTTATAATAAAATAAAGAATTATAGTCTTGCTCAACCATAAATGAGGTTTTATACAAGCCAAGTAAAGGTCCATAAGAGAAATAGCATTAATTACTCTATTTATAAATATTTTGCACTGGAGTTGTCTATATAGTTAGTGTAGTGGTGACAAACAAAGATTCTCTTTAACTTGTTTTACCTGGAGGAGGGCCCAGGCCACCTTCCCAATGAAGGTGGTTGTGGTGGAGAGGCAAGGTGGCCTGGGAGGAGTCTAAAGATACAGGAAAATGAATGACTTCATAGTGGTTTATAACTGTCACTTTGCATTTGCAATATGGTGTCTAAAATTTTGGTAGTTTAATAGAGAATAAGCACAAGTTTGACCAAAGCTAAAAATGATAATTCCAGATTAAGGATCCCAAGTAAACAGCATTCCAGCAGAGTTTGAAAGAAATGAAAAACACATAATAAAATGTGAAGGACTCTTTGAGTCAATTAAGTGATAAGAAAAATTAACATCTCACACTTACTTAGCACATTTCTATTCTGCATGATCCCAAATCACTGTTTGCACATTACCCTCATCTCTTGTTCCAAGTCCCTTTGCATGCCTGCGCAGATGTAACCGAGTGTACTTCAAATACGAGTTATCCACAGCTTTGCATCAGAAACTCTAATAAATTATCCTTCAGAAACACTGGTTTAATTAACTGTTCATGTGACTTCTTGTGCTTTATTCTGGGGAGTTACGTTCTTATCTTAGCAAGGTCCAGCCTTAAGCATTGTGCTGCTTGTGGATACACTTCACTGTTTCTTTACTTCACTCCTTGAACTTTCACACACCTCGGATAAATACAAGATCTTTGCAGAACCTAGTGACCACAACTGTTAAGAGCATTACTAACAGGCAAGCTCTGCTGCTTCTGTTGTTGAGTACAATATTTTGACATTGTTCTCTCAATAATTTTGCAAGTATTAAGTTTTTCCTTCTCTTTTCTTTATGTCTTTCTGGGGACTTGATATTTATGTTCCTCTTCTTCGATTTTCTGCTCAAATGCTTTCAATCCCTGGGACACAAACTTCCTCATTTTCTTTCCTGTGTCCTTCTCCTTCCCTGTGTATCCAGTCTCTTCAACCACATCTTTCTTCCTGAGTTTCTCCTCTCTTATAGATGATTCCCTGAGACGGTTTTTTTGGGTTGTTGTTTGTTTGTGGATTTTTGTGTGGGTTTTTTTGTTTGGTTGGGGTTTTTGTTGATTTTTTTTTTTTTTTGCTATATTCCAATCTCATATTGCAGAATGAAGATGTCATTTCCTTTTTCTCCCCTCCCACCTCCCAAACTGAGTAATTTCAAAGCCTTTCTTGTACTTTTAACTACTTAGGCACTTACTTTAAAACAGGAACTACTGTGGTTGTTTGATATCCAACCTTCTGGGCATGTGGGGACTGGAGCAGTAGTTGTAATAGATGGTGCTGTTGCACTCATTGCCCACTGCTTGCAGATATAGTTTTGCTTTGTCTCACAGTTGAGAACATCCCATAATCCAGCTGCAGTCCCAGTTTTCATGGCTACACATCCTGGATTACTTCCTTTATGAGAAGAAAAAAAAAAAAAACCCAAAACCCAAACATTGCATATGTTATACAGTCAAAATTGTTTAATTCTTACTTACAATCTTTGAACTGCTGCCATTCTTTTGTTGCCATACAATAACACTTGAATAGTAGAATTGTATTTTAGGTGTTCTTCGCACAGGCAAGAGGAGGTCATGACCATTTGGGATCCTGATTTTTTATTATTATTATTTTGCATATCCTGAATAATTTATTCTATAAGTAGACAGTAAGTGGGGTTTGGGCTTGTTTAGTTTGGGGGGGTGGGTTTGTTTGTTTGTTTGTTCTTTACAGTGAAAACCTGTGTTTTCAAGTGAGGATCTCATTCCTACTTACATTAAGCCTGTTTTACACCAGGTAGCATAACCTAGATCACTACTGATTTTTGGTAACAGAACCCTCAGTGCATACATAGGGCAACGTGCAAACCTCAACAGAGGTGTGATGAAACTTATCACATGATATTTGTTGTAATTTTAGTGTATTCTCTCAGAGGCAGAGTTGCATATACCACACAAGATGCACACTGTGGGCTAATAAAATGTCTAATTTGTCTGCTTTATTGATTCCCTAAATATTCTTAACATTTTATTTGTTTTTTGATTCCTGTTGACCACAAACCTGATGCTTAAATGGACCTGTCTACCATCATGTCAAGAACTGAGTCCTGAAATGACATGGTAAACTGTAAGTCCATCATTTTATGTTAAGAGATATGTTCCTATGAGCATCACTATCTGCATCAAAGTTTACCTGCCATTCTCCTGATAATGCCGAGTCACTTGTTCTCCTGAGATCATCCCGCATTTTATCACAGACACATCTTCACTATCAGAAGCAATTTAGTATCATCAGCAAATTTTGTCACCTCACTATTTCACCTTTTCCAGATTGTCTGTAAATATGTTGGACAGAACGGGCTTTGGTACAGAAAATTATGGGACTCTGTTGGTGAACACTCTTCCCCAGTAAAAAGTATCCCCCCTAAAAAAACCCCACCTTCCATTCCCTGCCTTTTTATCGAAATTTGTATTAATTTAAGAGCTTTCCTGTGTCAGGTCAGATCAGCTGAAACACTTTTGGTAACTGAGATAGACCACACTAACTAGATCTCCCTTATTTGTATGCTTTTGGCCCCTGTGGGGAGCTCCAGGAGATCTGTGAGCATGACCGCTCTTTACACAAGCAATTTTATATATCTTTGCCATTAAATCTTTATTCTATTCTTTATTACAGATTCAGCTGATTTACCAATGACCCACTGGTCTGTATTTACCCACACCTTCCTGAAACCATTTTAAATGTTGACAGCAAATCTGCCTTTTTTTCACCCCTTAGTAAACTGTTCATTTGAATGTGTTACTACCCTCTAAAACAGCCTTGACAGCTAAATGTAACCTTTACAGCTCTTGGATGCTTTTGCAGCTGTGCTTAGCCCTCACTTGCTATCCTTCAGGTCACCTATTTGTTCCCAAATCTATTCTAGACTCCCTGATCATATCCTCACAAACAATATTTTCAGCACAAGAAGTCAGATTTCTTTCTCAGTGAAGACAGATGAAAGGAAACTAATTTTTCTTCACTGATGCAGAATGATCTCCGAGCTCTCCCTTTAAACTCTGATCATCTCTTGGCACCACTGATTCTCTGGCAAGCTCTCTTTTCATGATATTTACAGAAGTAATTTTTGCAATTTGCCATTTTTTATTTTGTTTTACATTTTAGAACCTCACTGAAGGTTTTTGAGAAATTTTTCAGACAAGTGATCACTAGGAGGGATGTAGTATATATCAGGGAGAGCAGATTCCCTCATGGTATTTTGAAATCTTGGGTTTTGTGCTTCTTCACAGTATGATCCCATGAATGCAGTTTTCTTAGCATCCCAAGTAAAAAAAAAAAAAAAAATATGATCATTTTTGATACTGTGATTTTTTTTAAATTTTAATTTAAAATCCTTATTACAATTGCTCTGTTTCAAACTCTTCTCCCAGGGTAACTACACTACCAGAGAGAAGAGTGTGGAATAGTCTCAGAAACTGCCTGTAACTCCTGTTTATCTCTTCATGAAGATGAGCCAAAATTTTAATTGTTTGTGTAAATATTGAAGATGTCCAAATTAAATACTGCAGTTCAGATTGTTCCCTTTGAAATGAAAAGATGGGGTTTGAGAACTTCTAGTTATTGTAAAATATACCAAAAGCTTAAAGTATAAAATTCAGAGGACGTTGCCAATTCAAACCCAAACAGGGACCATGACCTCGGAGAGCACCTATCATCCACTGTCATGACACCTACCAGGCATTGCTGCATCCCAGTGAGTGAAGGAGACAGCTTCACCATTGGACCACCTGAACATGCCTTGGTCCTCCACATCAGAAAGACCAAGCCAGAAATATTTCTCAGGCCTCAGCCCAACGAGGCTCGTCAGATAGGCTTGTTCATACCTGTAAAAAGGATCAAAACATGCAAGTGAAAACAGTCATTTATCTAAATCCTACTTGTCTAATCTGATGATTAAACCTTTTCTCCTTTTCCTTCCTTCAGACTGGGGGAGAATACCTTATGATAGGATTCTGACTCTCTATAAATCAACATCCAAGACTTTAATAAATCAAGAACAAGGCTTTTTGGTTGTTCAACTAGAGACCTCATCTGTAACTTGGATAATTTGTTATTGGATGTTGTGTTAGAATTGTAGTTCCATGAATATTTCAGAACATACAACCTTTACCTATTTAAAAGCCAAGGAAAAGTCATTATCATACCTACTTTCAACTGTAGCTAAGTAACCTTTTTCTTCCTCACAAATGGTGTTTGCTTCTGAAAATGTTGCTGGAATATGTCCAATAAAATAGCAGTAGGTCCCATATCTTCTCCAGCCCTGTAACATGATGTTAGGATTTCCATATAACTTTCAAATAATTGTGATACTGTCAATTAAGTAAGCTCTACCATTTTAAAATGAATGAAGCACAAGAATCATGAATATTATAAATTAAAAATCTTTTGCAGTAAAATTACATGTTCCTTCTAAGTGGTTTCTGTAAATGGCTTTCTGAAGTTTCAAGTGACAGAGAAACTTCATAAGTAAAAAAAAAAAAAAAAAGGAAAGAAGTATATGTAAAGAATATAAATAATTCAAATAATTCTAGATAATTCTCAGACAGGGTACTTATTTGATCTGGGAAATTGATGTTCCATTCTTATATACTTACTTTTTTGCAACCTGCATCAGCACTTTCCTTTTCTCCAGCTATTTGTGATATAGGTTTTCTTTTACAAATGTAGCCAGCTTTCTTCTCACATACATAGTCTGCCCAATACCCATCCTGTGACAGGAAAAAGAATGAAATAACAACCAGATTAAGATGAATAATCTAAAGAAAATTAATAATTTCTTTTTTTAAGAATAAAAACTATTCATTTTCCTTCTCTCAATTTTGAAACAGAAATATATTTTTCTTTATCCAATTCCCTTATTTGTTAAAAAAAAATAAGTCTGCTCACATTCAGTGAAATGGCAGACTGGTCTATAGTGGTCCAGCTACAGCTGACAGTGTTCAGAAGGAATGAGGGTGCAGGGAGCTGGTCCTCCACCTGTTCTGCAGGGCCCAGCACAGGCAGTTGTGCCATGCAGGGACAGGCAAATTAGCAGGCACAAAGGAGAGGAAAAGACACAGGAGAATGTACTCAAACTACATTCAGAGACCTGTTTTATAGCCCTAATAATTTCACTGCTGACTGTAAGATGAATTTAAAGAGAAATCTTTAACAGTGATGCAGTAAACTAACCTTTTTTTTTTTTTTTAAATGAAAGGTCATATTTTCTCTTATCCATTGTCCCAACATCCCTTTTTCTGGCCTTAGCCAGTTGCTGAAATAGCTGGGCACATTATTCCTTTATTAAGAAGCCAGTTTCAATATTAAAATATGTCTTGGATAATGTTACCTGGCCCTTGATCAGGACACAATGTTCTGGCCTGTTGTTTGTGGTGGATGGCTCTCCCAGGTGCCACTTTGTGTATGTCACTGGCATACCATCACTCCATTCAAAATACATTTGAACCTTATGATCATTCAGCCCAATCCATAGCTTGTCTGTTGGCCCTAAAACATGGAAACACAGCACTAGAACAAACCTCTTATGCTGCTGCATCCTTTTCACAGAACACTCAAGCTCTAGAACATATAATCCCTTTCATAAATTTATGAAACGTGAAATTTAGTGTGCTGCATTATAATTTTATAAATTTATATTTTCACATAGATATTAGAATAAAGACCGTATGCTTTGGAAAATTATGCTGTAATGAAATCTCTGAACTGGATAAAAAAAATTTTGCTTCTCTTCCTGATAGCTGTGGGAGAAGAGTAAATTAGCAGCCTAATGCTAACATGCTGTGGTGGTACGATAGAAATGAGTGAATAGTTATTTTTCAGGTTCTGTTGCACTGGTCAGATTTTAAAATACTGTTCTTATTTAACTTGAAGCATGAATGTTTTAAGCTACTTTCAATAAAATAAAATTAAAAAAAAAAAAACAAAACAAAAAACAAACAAACAGAGAAATCCCATAAGAGTGCTCTTCCTACCCTAGATTAATTGTTTAAGCAATAGGTAAAAATCACAGTTTCAATAACATCCAAAACTCAGTAGGGGAAGGCTGTCAGCATCTGAATCAAACTTCAAGGCTGGCCCTGCTGTAATCCAGTGCTGGACTCAATGACCTCCAGGGTTCCTTCTGACCTAAACCAGTGTATGATCCTAGTGTGGCCAGCAGGAGTAGGGAAGTGATTGTCCCCCTGAACTCCGCACTGGTGAGGCCACACCTTGAATTCTGTGTTCAGTTTTGGGCCTCTCACTGCAAGAAAGGCACAGAGGGGCTGGAGTGTGTCCAGAGAAGGGCAACATCGCTGGGGAAGGGTCTGGAGCACAAGTCCTGTGAGAAGCGACTGAGGGAGCTGGGGGTGTTTAGCTTGAAGGAGGCTGAGGGAAGACCTCATCACTTTCTACAGCTACCTGAAAGGAGGGTGCAGAGAGGTGGGTTTTGGTCTCTTCTCCCAGGTGACAACTGATAGGACAAGAGGAAGTGGCTTCAAGTTGCCCCAGGGGAGATTTAGATTAGATATTGGGAAAAATTTCTTCTCCACCAAAAGGGTTGTCAGGCATTGGAACAGGCTACCCACGGACATGGTGGAGTCACCATCCCTGGAGGGATTTAAGAGACATGTAATGAGGTTCTTAGGGACATGGTTTAGTGGTGGACTAGGCAGGGCTAGGTTAAGGTTGGACTTGATGATCTTAAAGGTCTTTTCCAACCTAAACTATTCTATCATACTATGAAGCCATGGTTTTTGGCATTATTAAAAGGAAAGCAAGGAAAATTAAAAGTAAATTTAGGCATAATGAAGAGAGGTATGGATTGATGTCCATAATTTCTTTAGTAGTTGCTAAACTGAGGCATGATAAGAGAGTTAAAAAGTATAAAAACCAAAAATATCTCCTTTTATGGTTGGATGATAAACAGAACAATTACTTTTTGATGAAAAAATTTTCCTCTTTTGAACATATTTCACTTTTTCAATAGTTAATTAAGGCTCTTAGTACCTCAAAGCAAATTGTTAACAGGGGCACAAAGTAGCAACATGTCTACGGACTCCTCAGGTTTCTGCCAGGAATATTAAAAAGGCCATGGCGAGACCCCACTGACACGTTAGATCCAATGACTTGAGAACAGTTCTTTAGGCAGCCCAGGCAATTCCACAGCTTGCTGCCTGGAAAACACCTTGGCTAGCTTTGCTGATCTTTTCCATCTGGCACTGTAGAGAGCTAAATTATTCTGCAGTAAGTTTCTTCTACCACCTTTGCAGAGTCCTGTGAACTTGCTGATCTGGGTACTGGTTGACCACAAGACAGAATGACATAGAGCCACACTGTAAGTTCCCCAAATGCACAGAAAGCAGTACAAATATGTTGGTTTTACATAACAAGCACTCTTTCAAAGTGGAAGTTACATTTCATAATCCTTTCACTCAGAAAGCTTTTCACTGGAATGACTGATGTCTTTCTACCCTCATGCAGAGCAAAGGTCAAGTAAAGACAATCGAGTACATCAGCAAGTTGCAGCACAGAAAGTGGCATCTGTTAGGAAGCAGAAGGAGAAACACCGCACCAGCCTAACCCCACTGGACCTCTGTCTCCTTGTATGTCTTTGGCTTCAGTGTTTCATGTTAATACAGTTGCTACATGTCAATTCAGCTAGCTGGTGCTTCTCACATGCAGACAAAGGCAAAAGCCCCCTTTGGAAACACTCACTGTACCCAAGACGAGAGACCATAAAGCTGTGCTCCTCAAGATTCTGGATGCTGGCCAGATGACTCCCTTCCTTCTGACAAGAAGTCAAAGCTTCTTCCCATCCTTTGGTCTCCCTGAAGATCTTGTAACAGTGATCTATATATGGTACCCATCCATCTGGGCAAGTAACATGCCCAGTGTCAGCTAGGAACAAATATCAAAGGAGTTCAAATGCCATGCAAGGGACACGACACTGAAACTATTTTCATTTATTCTGTGCAAAAGTTCTAAACTCAGATTTTCTGTGGAAAAATATCCCTATAAGGAAACGATGGACACAATAAAATATAAATACGTTTCTAGATCTGGCATTTTCTGTCTTGGAAAAGGAACACTTAAATACAAACATTATTTAATGCAAATTCTAAGGTTCTTATATAGCCAAAAGTCTGTAACAAATACACTAATGTAGTAATTTGAACAGCTTCTCTATTACTTAGTACCTATTTGTCATAGAAATCAGAAATTATCGGCAGCTAACATAGAATGCTTACGAATTTTTAAAAGATTAATTACGTTGATAAAGTGAAAGTCATCTAGACAGGTTAAGAACTAGACATATACATTGATAAACACCAACATCCTTGTACACTTAAAATATCTTTTATCTTTGCAATGCGTCAAACTTTCTTCCTTTTGTTTATTTTTACTAATGCCCCTGTTCTGAAAAGTAATTTTTGGTTTGCTCTCCCTTTTCATGCTCAGTAGTGTGTGTGTTCAAATGGGAAACCTGTCTGCGAAACAGGGACAGATGGGACAAGTTGGACACTCTTTGCTTTTACCTGTTTTATTCTGCGGGTTTTGTGACTGGTGATCAGCATAGAAAATGTGCAATACTTGTAAAAAGCAAACCAGAAAAACAAAAAATAGTTTCTATTTCTAATAAAATTCTCCTGCCCATCTTTATCAATGTGAATGCCAAGCAATTAAGATAACAGCTTCTACTTTTAATTATCAACACGTATCAACATACCTGAGGGAACTAAGATAAAGTTTCTTTTCTTACAAATGTAACCAAGTTTCTGATCGCATTCCCAATTTTGCCATTTAGATCTTGTTTCAGGATTCAGAACCACGCAGAGTTTTGCAGATTCTGGAGAGGGACTTCCTTTGGGAAAGGTGCAGGAGGGGGGAAAAAAAAAAAAGTGAACTTTTCTGACAGGCAAATAGCTCTAAAATGCACAGGAGAAATCACTCCTGGCTGAAGTGAGAGCCCCAAGGACCATGTCTTTCCCAGCTCTGGCAAGAACTGAGGTAGGTGTCTGGTAATGGGAATGTCTGTATGAATTCGGGTATCATTTAAGTGGATATGAACATGTAACCCCCTCATAGTTTTGTTGCTAGAGACAAGAAATGAAAGACTATATATTTTTGGGAAAGACACTATTGCTTTCAGAGCTAAAATAATTTTTGCAATACATACAAGTTTCTGGCTTGTATCGGTATAGAAATAAAGCTTCTTCTAAAGCAAGAAAAGCTAAAATACTTATCTCATGGCATATCCATCTGATAATAAAATTTAAAGCAGTATTTGAGGTATATATATATTTTTTTCTTTGGAAATATAGAATAAAACGTAGTCACAGCTACCTGGAGCCCAGTTTAAGTAGTGGAAAGGGCTGCCTCCAATCCATTCCCATCCCCTCCTCAAGTCCAGTCTGTTGAGTCCAATCCACAGTGCAGAATCTGTACCTTCTGTTAACTCTAAGTAACCAAAGGAAGAAAAATTATTTTTTTATTAGCAGTAGTCACTAATGATGTCTCTAGGAAGACTTACAATTCTTAAATGGCTAACTACAAATATCTTCAGATACTGAGAGAACTGATAAATTGAAATATGCCAAAGCTTTGATTTCTGTAAAAAGTAAACAAACAAAAAACCCCATTCTTATTCTATTACCTAATGTGAATTGAGCTCAGAAGAGGTGCCGCAGAGTATATCCAAAATGAAAGTGTTTCTATACAATAGGATAAACTGTGTACAATACTGGATTTATTCAAGTAGAAATATTGGTACAGTGTGAGTATAAATAATAATAAAAGCTCTTTGAAGTCAAATTCATCATTAAAAATAACAGCAGAGGGTTTCTTCCATACCATTCCTCCATCAATACATGGGTAGGTACAGCCATGATTTGGGATCTCTAAATAACTACTTCTTTTCAGTTTATCAAATGAATGAGAACATCAGATGTCAAACTGCATTTGACACAAAAGATATCTTTGTGCCAAAAAAAAAGATATTACTTTTCTCTTATTTTCAATTTGGTTTAGAGGCTCCTTTTGATCAAAAAGAAAAAAAACTTTCATTTACTTTTCAGAAGTTTTTTTTCTCCTATAAATTAAAAAAAAAAAAAAGATGAGGTTTTAATATAAGATAACATTTTAAAATAGAAAGCCAAACTGCTGCAATTGCAGGATGCTGGAATACTTTGTAATCTGTTTAAATTTAGCAGTGATTTTGATCCAAACTTGCAAATTCTATGATTTTATTTAGTTATGCATATTTAGGCTCATAGACATTAGTCAAAACCATATTAAATAGTCTTTAACTGTTATGATGGACTGAACTGATCCTGAATCTACGTCAAGGTTTGCTTTACTTCCTTACCTTTAAGGTATGTTTGCTCATGAATGTCTGTGATACTCAATAATTCTGCATTTTGCTGCTGACAGCTCTTCCTGGCTTGGTGCCACGTGACAGCCGAGTCAGAGTTTATTTGGTAGTGGACATTTCTTAACAGATCTGTAGTCCAGGTAGTGTCTTTATCTATGGAGAAAATAATTATTTTGGGGGTGATAGTAACTCACCCCCAGAAAAATGAGTTGCAGGTTCTCCTTGTGCTTGGCATTCTCATTCAATGTCACCTGTGCTCTTCTTTCAAGAAGACCAAAAATGTTACAAGGGGGATGAGGAAGGATGAAGTTAAGGCCTATAAACTGACAGATAGCATTGGCAAATATTGCCTCCTGTTCCATGAAGATACATAATTCAGGAATTTCTACAAGGGAAATGATTGCATAGAAAAATATATAGCATGGAGTGCTGTTGCAGAAATCCTGGGTGAAAACTATAAACATATGCAACATCTCCTCCTCCTTCTGGACAGCAGTTCCCACTGAGAGCTGTGAGAACCAGCTCTAGACCTGAATTTAGCATCAAAACAGTTGTCAGATAAATCCCACCCTTGCAAAGAGCTTCTGGATGTGCCTGTGACACAGCTTCAGAGCCCGGGCACTGCAATGGTGCTGAGCTGCATCGTGCTCCTCTTCTGATAACCTTTGTGTCTTCGGTCTGTTGAAGATCTGTACATGCCCAATCAAGCACATTATGAAATTGAATCAGATATTTGACTGTTCCCAGAAGTCGGTATGAAGCTGAATTAAAACAAAACAAAACCCAAACAAACCCCAAAAAAACTAACTGGGACTGGCTTTCAAAAGCTTTGAAAGTTTTTCCTTGAGCCTATGTCACACACCGTTTGGGCTCAGTGTCCTTGGTGTCTTTGTAGGGACCTGAAAGCATACTTGACTATGGATTTGAACAAGCCAAAAGCACATTTGGAACCAATTAGTGTAAAGTGGCATTTTAATAATAAAACGCAATGTTGAACAGGAGCAATGAGGAGGAATATTGGAGAAAGCCGAGAAATGTCAGGAGTCTTCAACACCTTGAATGCAAAACTTCCCTGTCAGTAGCAAGGCCATAAAGGGGGATGGAGGGGGAAGTGACCACAGGACTGGTAGACATTTTTCAGAAAGTGATTGAACTTGTAGAGAAATACCAGGGACAGGAGGCTGTTGTTAGAATGGACAGGAAAACTGCTTCCCAGCCACTATGAGGATACATTCCACTTAAGTAAAAAAATATTCACATGACAACCATGCAGACTGAAACATTAACTTGATTATTTATCTTCCTACAGCACTTTTTTTGTGTGCCCACATCCATCACAACAGGGTCCTCAGAGAAGGGTTGTACAACGGTGACAGTACACGTCCTGGCTGGGAAACAGTGAGGACCTCAAAATTATTATGCTGCTCAGCAACACGCCCACAGTTAGTGTGAACTACATGCTATTTTACTCTTCAATCACACTTTTCTCCACATCTTTATCCAATGCGTTATTTCCTTGCATAGAGAGCTGCAGGATGTGGCAATATACCAGAAGGATACTGACCCCTTGGAGCGAGTCCAGAGGAGGGCCACGAAGATGATCAGAGGGCTGGAGCACCTCTCCTATGACGAAAGGCTGCGAGAACTGGGCTTGTTCAGCCTGGAGAAGAGGAGGCTCTGAGGAGACCTCATTGCAGCTTTCCAGTATCTGAAGGGGGCCTCCAAGGGTGCTGGGAGAGGACTTTTTACAAGGGCCTGTAGTGATAGGACAAGGGGTAACGGGTACAAATTGAAATCAGGGAGGTTTAGATTAGATGTCAGGAAGAAATTCTTCACAGAGAGGGTAGTGAGGCACTGGAACAGGTTGCCCCGAGATGTTGTGGATGCCCCATCCCTGGAAGGGTTCAAGGCCAGGCTGGATGTGGCTTTGAGCAACCTGGTCTAGTGCAAGGTGTCCCTGCCCATGGCAGGGGGGGTGGAACTAGATGATCTTTAAGGTCCCTTCCAACCCTAACCATTCTGTGATTCTATGATTCTATATCATATAGTAAATACATCCTTGTAAACTATGCATTGTTATAAACATTCATATTCTGCTAGTGCTGGTTTCCCAATACTCCGCTGAAGAGAATTGCATGATTCCTGAAGGTAAATTGCAAATTTACCTTTTGATGGGCAAAATCCATATCGCTGGTCTGTGTCATAGTCTGCCGTGGTTGCACACCAGAGCCAGCCATCTGACCGGCCAGCATCCGTGCACTCGGCATACCACTGCTTATTGTACATGAAAGGGAATACACAGGGTGCCCCAAAAGCATTTCCTAGCAGCGTAAAGATCTCTGAGAAGACAAAATAAGGATAGTATGGAAAATAATAAATGAATGTATACTGTGAAAAATGTGAAGGCTACGCTAAGGGCTGAATTACATCTCAGTGTTTTTCATGTTACCTTCTCCATAACAAAATTGATTTCAACACTCTTCCAGACTTCAGCTGCTGACATAGGTTTTAGAGCAGTGCTATTCTTATGTAAAGTAATATTTCATAGTTGATGTCTACAACTAGATTTTTGTTCTGACCAAGAGGTTTTTACAAACTTAATAAAGCTTCAGAGCTCTGCCCTAAGATACTACTATTTTAAACAATGTTAAGATTTATATAAAATGTGAAACAGAAGGAGTTAATATTTAGAAGTCCTACTTCCTAGAAAAAGTAAACATCAGGTTAGACAATCCATCTTTGTTTTTCTTCCAGTGACCGTTTAAGTATTTCACATACAGTGGCACAGCTCCCACACGCAAGGCTCAGAGTTTAATACTTCAAATATCCTGTGCAGTGTGTTTTTAGAGCATTAATTCTGAATGTAGGAAAACATTCAGAACAATCAGACTTCAGCTAATCACAAAGGGTAACTGCACTTAATGCTAATCATTCCATGAGCATCTTCATTTGCTGAGTCACAAAATCCACACATCCTCTGCCTTACCTGTACTTCCAGCCCTTTCTCAGCTCACCTGTAAAGTGCTTCTTTCTTGCGGACATGATTTTCTTTCCTTGTTGGTATTTAAGAAACTTATCAGTTTATACTCTCTATTAACAATATAGTGACACATTATGGTGAGTAATAGCGACTTCGGAGAATACTTATATATAGTATAAGAGGAAATAAGTACGTATATTTATACCCTAACATGTAATATATACTTAGAAAATATATAGAGCATATCTAATACTTATAATACTTGTAATACCAATATACTATAATACACTAAAATAACATGTGTATTATGCAACATATATATATATGTATACAGTACATGCTTGGCCATAAATATGACATTAAACTCAAAGCCAATTCCCTCAGTACATTGATTTTCTAAAACTCTGATGGTCATTGAAAGGATCAGACTAGTCAGAGATCGAAAACACTCTAATACTCATAAAGAAGTTAGTGCAAAGGATAAAAGAATCAATTTGCTGTACCTTCATATCCCTGGGGACATAAAACATCCATGGCCCCATAGATCTTCCACTTATTCTTTGCACTTAGCTCCTTCTCTAATAAAACATTATCATGTTCTTCTTTTCCAGGACTGAGAAACAAATCTTCTCCTTGGATTGCAAGGAGGCTTTCATTTCTGCATTCCCACCACTGGAGCTCACTTGTTTGATTACATGGATACAGAGTGATCACAGCCTGATCTTCCTTTGACCTCACCCCCAGGCATAGGTTCAGTCTCACACTCATAAGCTGATGATCAGTGATCCACCTGAATTTTTGTGATTCGTTCTCTTGATGGCAAGTGGCAGTTCTAACTGACTGCGTGACAGATGCCTGAAGACAGAGCTTGTTGACTTTATTATGTATTAAAAATGTTTCAATGTCTGTAAAACAAGGCAATAAATAGTTAAACGGTTAATATACAATATATATATAGTGGATATGTGACATCATTCTGCTTCCCATTCTCATGAACAAGGAGTCATTATATTCATATCAGATAAAAACATGATGGTTTTGAACAGAGCCCAGTGCCACATCAATTTTACTGATTAAAAAGCAATGGGGTGGACAACAGGATATGTATTTCGTTATTATATGTCACCATACTGTTGATTAGTGGCAGTCAGCTGCATCAACAGAGCTGAGCACAGCTTGTGGAACTGATTTACTTCAGTCACGTGAATACCCTCAACTACACTGCTATTAAAATTTCCTTGTTTCAATCTACCCTCATATGCATGGCCTTGTAGACCTCTGACCTCTGCAAACTGTCCTCACCCTGCCAGATCTTACAGGTCTCCTGGTGGGGTCACACCTGTCTGTGCTGGGCCATTTGTCTCCCAAACCCACATTTCCTCTCCTTTTCACTGTATAAATGTGGGTGAACACCTCTGAGCCTCAAAAAGGGTACTCTGGGCTCATTGGCCTTGCTGACCTACAAGACTTACAGTATCTACTATGAGCCATTGCAATGCAAAACTAAGAATAATGTTGGGAAAGCAATCACAGTTTGAAAAAGTAGCAAGAACTGGGTAGTAGTAGTATCTGACCACCATTTGGCAACGTGGAAAGGCTGGTGGAAGTTAGAAGGTCCACCTGTACCAGAAGTTGGGTCCCTAGCTCTCCAGGTAGTTTCTCTGATCAGGTCTACAGTGTTGCCTCCAATGTAAAGTACAAGTAGCTGAGCCAATTTAAGTCCTATAATGAGTTTATCAGTAGCAGCAGTGAATCACACCTATGAATTTGCTCAGCTGCTTTGTGGTGTACTTTGTGACCCACCTGGTTGTATTTCCCTCCAGAGCTTGTGGGATTCATAACTAATTTTAATTCCTGATACATCTCTTGATCACTGGGTGTCATATTTAATTACAATGTATTTAAAGGGCTAAAGAAATTTTATTTACAAGCCTGCAAAAAGTTGAAGTCAATTTAGTTGATTAAATATACAGTACACTGAAAATAGTTATTCTGGCCTGCTATGATACCATGGATGGTTAAAAAAAACTGCCACATACTCTGAGGAAAACTGTAACAATTTTAACTCAGGAGCTAAATTTAAAACGTTTTAACCTTAAACATTCAGATCTCTAGAAGCTATCTGTTTTAACACCTACAATAAAACTGCAGCCAAAGATTTGGTGGGAATATTGTCACTGCAATTCTACAATAGCTTTCAGAAAGAAACTTAATCCAACTTTATTTCATTTTATTTTCATCCACTTTATCAGTGCCAGTGAATTCAGTGAGTCTATTCAAAACAGTAAATTAAAATAATCCTTTTTTTCAACACTAAATCTCTCTGGATTGCACAGCCATCATCTGTGAACACCTTAATGTCCTACAAATAATTCCACATTTCACCACTCCTGAAAATTTTCCTGCCTGATTTTTCTAACCATTACCCGGACACCAACAGCTCAAAAATCAGAACACAGAATTAAAGACTAAGAAAAATTAGACATGTAAACATATCTCATTATTTTCTTAGTTCTAATCTTCTGGCATTATTGAAATGTTACTGCCACTACACATGAATAAAACCATTAAGAATTCAGTCTTTGCTTCCTTTTTTATCCATTTCTTTTTTCTGTTAGATCCTGCCATTAGAAGACTCCCCATCTATATGTCCCAAACTAATAATGTACATATAGGCACTGCCAGAGTGCCATAAATCACCCAGAAACACCAGAGGAGGTGGAAGCACTTTCAGACACCTTTACAGGAGGCAAGCAGGAGGCACTTACCCACCAGCTGCAAAGCACTGTGAACAAGAGAAAGAACAAGCAAGAACCCAGACAACATAATTGTAAATGCTGTTTTCTTCCCTTCACCAAAAGCTGGATGACGAGAGCTGCTAGCAACGAAGTCCTACTGAGGAGAGGGCAGTGACCAGTCCTCCTCAGTTTCGCTGGCTGGATGGTTGGATAGAAAGCTCTGAGTGCTAAATAAGGAAATATTCTGTCACATGCCACATTTCAAAAAAACAAGACCACACCACACAAATTTTGCTTTTGACAAAGAATTACTACTCACTGAAGTCAAACCGTGCTGCCTTGCGAAAGCAGGTGATGTCTCAATACCTTCCTGAAGAGACATCTGGGGAGCTCATGGGATTATATCAACAGTGAAATATCGAAGAGAGAAATTCAGCCTCAGCCTTGAATTCTTACTCCTAAATTACACAGTGAAAAAAATACCATCAGGAAAACATGTCAGTCTCTCATTTTCACGTGCAAGCTGAGATAGGATTGAATTTTGAGGATTTAAGTGAGATTCACTCTGCTGGACATTATAAAAATATCTTCCCTTCTAGATGAGATTGCCATTGTCCTACTGACCTTCATTTCTGCATAAATGCAACTAGGAGACCAGCACCAAAGCTACCTGAAAAATGGTTCATATTTAAAAACAATCCCCATTTCTCTTCTGAAGTAGGCAACAAAGCTACCTGAAAAATGGTTCATATTTAAAAACAATCCCCATTTCTCTTCTGAAGTAGGTCAATCTTGTCAGACAGGCATACCAAGAGACAGCCACAGTTTCAGGAAATGCCACATATCTCTTCTTACCCAGACCATAAAGCAAGAATTCAGGACTTCGGTTTACAAACATACAGGTGGGAAACTGAGAAACAGCACTTCTCACCACTATAGACTGTCCCTATGGCAGGCATGAAGGCCTGACTACCACAGTAGATTCTTACCATGGAAATATTTTGTTTTACTTAGAAAAACTGCTAAATGGAAAAAAAAAAAAACCCCACCAAAAAAAAAAAAACCAAACACAACCAAGAAAACAATCTGTAGTGTGAAAATATTATTTGAATTGTAGTAACATATTTGTTCAGCACCTGTAGTGAAAATATGATAGGAAGGAAACTTGGCATCATCTCCTGTTTGTTGCCAAGATGACTGAATTTTCTCAGTACAGGATTTGTTGTTACTTGGCTGCTCAGCCAAAAGACGATGCAAGAAAGAGTTAGTTCTCTGCGAAAGTCTATAGGATTAAAATAGAAAGAAGAAATTGAATTGCAAAACATGAAATTACAAGGAAATGCTAGGTACAGTTCTCAGGAAGTTACAGGTAAAGTAACTGAATTTCTTCTTCAGATGATGAGAAAAATATACAGACAAAAGCAATAAAGTCAACAGCTATTTCTGTAAAGGAGAGTTATAGAAATTTTTTTTTTTATGTAGTTTTCTTAAGCAGCTGCCAAAGATCTTGCCTAGAAAGACCAAAAGTTTTCTTTGGCCTGAAGTGATTTGTCTTAGACTGAGAGCATTTCCTTACAGCATGTGGCCTATTTATATAAAAGATACATTGTCATTTATATCATCTAGAGTTTTAGCAGCCTGGTTTTATTGTGAAGCTCATACGGCAGAAGACCAAGAGGAATTCCAATTTCTTCTCGACAGGACATTGTGCAATAACAAAGAAGCAAAAAAGGAACAGTCCCTTTTCTTCTCCCTCCTCTGCTCCTCAAGACACACCAGAAACAACTGCAGCCTGGCAGTAAAACAAACATTGGTTCATTAAGAAAAAAAAAAAAACAAGCTCTTGGTAAGAATCTCTTCAGTCAGATTGCAGACCAGTTTTAGGGTTGAAAATCTGAACAATTTGTACTGCTTTATTGATACTCCAAACACAACTGGTGTACTTGAACCTTTCCTCATATGGTAACTACTGTGGATTAGGGGGTGCTGTGCTGGTTTCTGGAAAAAGGTGGCTGCTTGAGGCTGTAGAAATCCCCGAGGCCAGCCTCCAAGGAAGAGTAAAGCCAGAAGAGCAAACCTCACTATGCCACCTGCGCCCAACACCTCCTACTCACCATGAGCTACCAGACGCATACCTCATGGGGTACCAGGCAGAACATGACACTGCCTTCTTGCTCCTTTGCACTTCAGAGATCTGGCAATGTCAGGCACCTTCATCTCACCACTGCTCATGGGTGTAACCCCAGCACAAGCTGCATTCAGCCATGAATTACAGGTTGGCCCATCCTGATGGTCAGAAGCTGGGATAAAAGCAAACTGGCATAGATTTAGTCAATTTTGTGTTACTTCAAATTCAATAGGTAGACCTACATTCTAGACACAGCTCTCATAAAGAGATTACCAAGAGCATAAAAAACTGACTTGCTAAAGATTTTCTGGAAATCCTACCAAGTTCATTAAGCTTCTACTTACTCAAAGATCAAGGGGGAAAGAGCAGCACAATCGCAACAGCACCTTGTATCTCAGCCTATCTGATGAGTCTAAATGAGTAACAGGCGGGAGGTAAATTGCAGTGGTTGCTTTGCAGGTGATAATTTGTCAATTACTGATGGTAGGTATTCACAGATAGCTACAGTGACATAAAAAGACCCATAAATTGTTTGGGGATCCTTCAAGAGTGGAGATCTGTTAGGATCTGCTCTACTGAAAGAGCAATTCTCACTAGGGTTAGTAAGTCTCCCCACAGATTCATCTGCTGTGGCTGAGAACAACTGATGCACCCCTGCTCCTGCAGACCAGCCCCAGCCACTGGGGACTGATTGCAGATTATCACACCAATTGGTCCTGCTGTGCAAAATTTAGCTGCATATTTTGATACAGAGGGGAGATGAGCCTGCTATATTTCTGGTCTAGCAAGGGGGATAGGTACTGTTTGCCATCCCTTGTAAACCTTCTCTTCTCAACCTGCAGTTGTTGAAGAACTGAAACCTGTGGGAAGGACTCACTTCGGAAAAATTCATGGAGGACTGTCTCCCATGGGAGGGACCCCCACACTGGAGCAGGGACAGGTGTGAGTAGTCCTCTCCCTGATGAGGAAGGAGTGACAGAGACAACATGTGGTGAACAAAGTATAGCTCCATGAAGTATTAGGATAACATAAAGAGGACAGAAATACCTCAAGTTTTTGTTATTTTCATCTTCACAAAAAAACTTAAATGTGGTAGAATTGTTAACTGTGTTAACTACATTGAGAAAGAACAGAAAATAGAGCAAGGAAAAGGTGCATACTGAAATCAGCTTTGTCTTATGTGCTTATATTCAGACTGAAGGACTGAAAATTTTCATCTAGCAATGTTAAATCATTAATGGAAATCTCCTAGAAATTATGCAGGCTGCATAACATCTTAGAATATTGGAGAAGATAGTTACACATACTTATATTTAACAATAAATTTAATTTGGTTTAAGAGGGGAAAACTCTGGATACATAATTCAATAAAAAGATTGTGAGAAATAGCATTGAATTTTGACTGATGTAAAGACATGGTCCTGTAATACCTACTTTGTAATGGCCTTATTTTTTAGCACTTACCAGAAAGTTATTAGACTTGTTACACATTGTATGCTTTTACAGCAAGAACAAGACGCAAATATAACACTATTGTCAATTTAAGAAAACATTTTACTAGAGTAAGTCTTGACAATCTCCTTATCTTCCATCTAATGCTGAGATTTGGCAGGTGCAATTACCAAATATCAGTGTTCTCATCTTGTGCAGGATGGAAGAAACAAATTTCAGACCAAAAAATACTCTTTATCTGATAGGACCACCTAATTTACATATTCCCTTTTGAATTCTGTAAGGTGATATATCCCAAAAAATGCTTTGAGGAATATATTCTGTTGATTGAGATGTACATTTACACATTTGACTAGGGATCGTTGTCACTCATTCCTTGAAGATTTCAGTATCCACCCAGCCTTGTTTCATAAGCAATTTGTAGAATCATAGAATCATAGAATGGTTGGGGTTGAAAGGGCCCTAAAAGATCATCTAGGTCCAACCCCCTGCCATGGGCAGGGACACCCTGCACTAGACCAGGTTGCTCAAAGCCACATCCAGCCTGGCCTTGAAGACATCCAGGGATGGGGCATCCACAACATCTCTGGGAAAAGGGACAGCTGAGGCTAAAACATCTGTGAGCCTTGCCTAACATGCTTCAAATTAACATCTCAATTCATTCTGTAGCCATTTTATTATCCCATTCATAAAATCATATGTGGTCTTCTGTGTTTAAGGCTCCTCTCTTATTTCTGCTCTACAAACTAAAAAGACTACTGTCTGTGCCTTTTAGGAATTTGTTTTCTTTTTGTAACAAAAAAGAAAACACCCTTCCAATAGAGAACGAAGAGTTTTCATGTGCATATAATGTCAAACATGCTGATTTTTCTTGTTTAAAGGAATACCATAATGCCAGAAAGATGCAGAAGACTTACATGATCTCTGAGGAGATGTTGGAAGAACTTAGTCCACAGGAGGGAAGACTGGAGCAGGACATGCTAACAGTCTGCAGAGATATAAAATGTTGCTGCATGAAAGAAGGTAATAAATTATCCTACATATCTACTCAGAAAAGGACAAGAAATACAGGAAAACAAAAAAAGCAATCAGTTTAGCAAGGGAGAATTAGGTACCAGGAAAAAACTTCTTCATAATATAATTATTTGGGCAGATTCTTTAGTGGGAGATTTTAAAAATAGGAAGGCAGTTGCCAGAAATCAACCAGACTCATTTGTCTCTCCTTCCCCAAGAGTGGTCTTTAGGGTTTTCCAGTTTACCTTTTTATCTCTGGAAATCAAGAAATATTTTCCAGTTTTCCGTTCAACCTCCCCAGTAGCTCATGAAAAAGAATATGGCTGAGACATTGATTTCCACTCTTAAACCAATGTAACACTTAACTTCATGCTAATGCAGCTCAATACAAGCAGGTATTGGGTATTTGTGGGACACTGGGAATGAGCATGACAACAGATGAGTGACTGTCACTGAGATCCTGTCACAGGTGGCCTGACCATTTTGGTGGCCTC